TTTTAAGGGTGGTGCACAAAATTCTAAAGGGTGGATACAAACAATTGCTATTTTAGTGCATAGTAAGTGACACGCTTAGTCTGTTTATTGACCTTGCATTTGCCTTAATATTTTTTTGAAGCGTGGTTCCAATATTTTAAGCATGGCGTATAATTTGCCTTTTTAATGTTTTTATTTAAATTATGTTGTTTCTGTGAGTATCCTACGTGAAAATCATTGTTACTTCTGATAATGGGTAAGACTATAAATTATTATACGTTTAATATTGCCACATAGCAGGGTCGAATCCAGGATTTTTCCCATCATGAGAGTAATGGTCCCCATATAAAGTCCTATAGGCCTATGACATTAGATCTATTATTTAATTTGTTATTGCGATAACGTAAATCATCAAGTACAACTTAAATTTTATTATGTTTTTTTTATTTTTGTTAGGGCGGCGTTGGAGGATTTAACAAAGGGCGGGTTTTCTGGAGTGTTAAAATGTGGAAAAGGTTCGATTTTTGAGGGCGGGATACGTGCTCCTACTGTAGCTTTTTGGCCAGGCCATATCTCGAGCGGAATATCAACCGAATTCCTGAGTCAACTAGACATCTGGCCAACGCTGAGAAGTTTAAGTGGTTCCTCCGCAGAAGATTTTAACGTCATTCTGGATGGGTTCGATTTCTCAGATGTACTTTTAAGAAATAAAAAGGTAGGAATAGTCTATAGATACTATAAACATTATTTATTGTTTTGTTTGAAGTAATTTTGTCCACTTTTTATATTCGATAATGAAACATACAACTAAGTATACCACAAATACAGAAGTCGAAGACAATCAAAGAAAACTTAAATAAAACCATAGCTTAAAATATAAATTGAAACGTCTTAATAATATTTTGATGTAACTTTGTTATTTTTTACTTCTCAAAAAAACAAAGAAATTTATTTAAAATGCAATCAAAAATAGTGCAAAAAAATACAATCAAAGTCAACTAAATTTTTAACTGAAGTGAAGGACAAAATAACACAATCTAAGTATCACAGCAACAATACTATATGAAAAAAAAAAGGTTTCAAGTTGACGTAGATCATCAAACTAAAATGTGTGTTTTAGCGGCCTAATGGACCTTTTCGCTAAGCCCCGCCCCTTGGATATTGTTGCTAAGGTCCCACAAAGCGATAGTGTTAAAACATACACAAACACATGCGTTTGTGGGACAACACGTGTGTTTGTGAGACGCGCGCGTATTCCTAGCGCTGTTCTGATTAGTCAGTTGTTAAGTTTGATTGACACTCCGGAAAGTCTGTTCTTCTAGACAAAACCTTAACACGATTCGTTTAAGTTACCGATCCGAAAGTTCTCGTGTTTCTACATTTTCTTTCGTAAGTGACATGCTCTTCCTTAGTTTTTAGAATGAACGTTCGCTAACTACACGCGCAGCGCTTGTAATCTCAGTAGGCTCTACATATTTGAGAACAGTAAAAACAGAACCTGTCGGCAAGATCGGCACTTTAAGGCTCTATCTATCCAATTGTATGTGTCTTTTTAACACAATGATCAGTTTTCGGGTCCTAAACTTTGAAACAGCCTACCTACCAATTAAATTAAATCCCCATCAAAAAATTTGCTCTTAAGAAATCTAAAATTTCTAAATTCTAAAACTAAATATAAGTTTTTTTTTTTTTATCCCTGGTTAAATATATTTATAATCATTAATAATTTTATAAAGGTGTTCATTTTACACAAGCTTAATTTTTTCATAGCATATTAATTCTACAATTTATTGACAGTTTTTTGCTCAGGCAGCCCTTCACAAGCCTTTGCTATTTGGGTTTTTGCCTCTTTTTTGAAATTAATATTTATTTTTTTCTTTAATATCTGAACGTATATGAAAAAGAGAAATAAATGTTACGTTGAATTGAACTGAAAAAAGTGCGTCAAATTTGTGTGCTTTGACCATATATAGGCTACATGATGAGGTCAAATTACACCCAAATATGGGTATATCACATTTATTTGTAACATAAAATTGTCATTTGATATTTCATTAAAAGATGATTCTGAGTGGAGATTCTTATCATTTAATATTTAAAAAAAAAAAAAAAGAAATATGACCTTTTTCTTAATGGAGCAGTCCAGCGTATTTTTAACCAATCAAGAAGTCATATATCATACCTAGGCGTCATGCAATAAAACGAAAAGGATACAACGAAAATGTACGGATGGAATTAAGAATGCACGGTGAAACTAAATTTCCGTATCGAAATAATAATAATAATAATAATAATAATAACAATAACATTAATAATAATAATTTTATTTAATAAAGTACAAACAACTTTTATTTAAAATATTCACAGGCGCTGTACAGAATATCAAAAAAACAGAAATTTACACACACAAAAAAAAATCAGTACCGTACTATATATATACAGTAATATCCATTAAAAGTTAAATAGAAGAACGGGAGATTAAAAGCATCACACTTAAATTTAACTCATCAAAATCTTTAAAATATTTTTGGATTTGGTAAATAACATGATACATGATACGTGATACGAAATACACTAATCAACTGACAAGGATCTATTTAGGTGTGTTATAATACAAAATAAATGAAGAATGACACCATTACATTTACCAAAAAAAGGGGTAGGGGGCAAAGGACGAGGTCGAAGTCACAGAAATTTGATATTTTACCTTCGAGCTCAAACTAAAATAATGGAATCGCCCCTTGTATTCAAGCCGTACCTAAGAAAATAATGTACTTGAATACGACTGGTGATTCCATTTTTTTTTTTTTTTTTGTATCCGCGGGCACATGGCGGAGGTATACACTATACGGAGTGACTGCTCTACTTTGTTTAAATATGTCCTAAGTTTTGTGTTACATGTTTAATCTTACTAATAATTCCACATTTGATGCACGTTTCTAGACCTATTCCAAGTTATCTGCAAGAAGGGTACCGCTATGCCTAGCTAAGCTAGGGAAATCCAAAGATGTGTATACAGGTACGGAATCGGCATGCACCACTTATGTCTTCCACGATCCTCCACTTCTATACGATCTCCTTCTTGACCCTGAAGAGCGTGTTGATTTGAGTAAATTGGAGGAATTTCAGCAAATAGTTCAAGATTTGACAAACCTTCGGCTTCAAGAATCGCGTAAAGTTCAATTCGCAAAAAGCGTTCTTAAGGCAACAGACGAGGATGTACTGCTATGTTGTGATCCCGGATGTCAACCCTTCCCTTCCTGTTGTCAATGTGCATCTAACTATACGGAGGAAATGTTTCCCTTAAACAGGGCATGTCATCTAGAGTGTTAAATGCAATGGACCATTCCGCTGCCTGCCCTCTTGACATATGTCCCCGTGTGTTTGTGCTGCATTTTCCATTTGTTTATTATATATTTGTCTCGATAAAAGGTTCCTAGATTTCTAAAGAAGCCATTGCTAGCCATAGTTCTATAACTAAAAAAGAAAGAAATTATAATCCACATTTGCCTTGATGTTTCATTCAGAACAGTTGATTAGTTTTGAAACTGTCTCTTATACACATCTAGATGTGTATAAGAGACAGGTATTGTATAGATTACAAGTTTCAATTTTTATGAATTTGGCAAAGATCCAATAGAATTCCTAGGTTAGCATAGCAGCCAGAACAAGAGAATTTGGACACCGTTAACTGACTGCCAAACGTTTATGTATTTTCACTCACATAGGTTTTGTATTTAGCTAAGCTATTCAGGACTACTTTAATACTAGTTGCCGGTAGCCATCTTGTTAACTTCCACCAATGAACGCGCCACTACTCCAAAGAGCAAGCAAATAGGTAGAACCGCCTAGAGCGTGTGTCGCTTCCGCCACATGATCAATTTTAATCGCAAAAAATAGAACATGGGCAACTGTCGATTCTTCAGTTGCTTTTGAATGCAAGTGTGCTCATGTCACCGGACATCACATGATTTAGTGTAACCATGGCTAGGGCATGGATGGACTGTGATGCTGTGGTCATCATTGTAACAAGTAACATTTTTCAAAACATCTACTTTAATACACACCTAAAACATATTACC